ATTTTAACATTTATTGTGTGTGTGTGTGTGTGTGTGTGTGTGTGTGTGTGTGTGGCCAGCTCAGCCCACCAGGGGGCGCAGCTGGCTGGCATGTGGTGCTGAAGGATTGAACCTCGGTCCCTGTGCTTTGCCAAGCCTGTCCCAAGTAGGTGCTTTAGACCACCGAGCCATCTCTCCAGCCCCTAAATAAAATATTATAAGTAAAGTAATATATTAGCAGAATTTCTATTTGTTTTTTCTGTACTAACTTGCTATACTAAGTTTTGTAAAAACTTGCTATACTGATTTTAATCATTTGGAAAGAAATTTTTTTCCCTACCACTGCTAGGGATGGAACCAGGGCCTATACACTGAGAGGTATCCCTATCCCTTGTAAAGTATTTTTTCTTTTTAAATTTTGATAATGGGTCTTGACTTAAATCACTAAATTGCCTCAGCTTCCCAGAGTGCTGGGATAACAGGCATATTGCCACCACCCCTAGCTATTTGGAGTGATTTTTATAGAGCTAATAGTTGTGTTACTGGTAGTTACTGGAATATGTCCTTGGACAATTCAGAATATACAAATTGTGATGGGAGAATAGGAAGAAACCTGGTAAGAGGCCCTTTTGGCTAAGTACAGTGTATGTGGGTACTCATGTTGTGAAATAATTAATGAGAATTTTTATTTACAGGTGCCCGGGAATATCATGTCCAGTTTTTTAGCAACCAGCCAGAGAGGGCATGGGTTCATGAAAAGCGGGTGAGGGAGTATAAAGGTCATAAACAGTATGAAGAACTACTGGCTGAAGCAACCAAACAAGCCAGCAATCACTCTGAAAAACAAAAGGTAAATGCAACATATTAATATTTTTGGTAGGTCCAACTCAGAGAGAGACTTGTCCTCCCTAATATGTAAAATCCAAACTATACACTAGGAAAGTAGAAGAAAGACTATTATTAGACAAGAGGAAGGGAATAGGGGAGAGGGGCATAAGAGTGAGTCGTAGCAGAATAGGTAGGGTCAAGAACTACATCTGGGATTCCTCTTAAGAGGATGGGGGAGGCAGGGAACGAGGTGAGGGTAACTAGTATGTAATATGAATGTACAAATCTGCCAGAATGAAACCAGTTAATTTTAATATGTGTGCTCCTGAAGCAAGTACTGAAGCTGTACTGGTTTTTGTATTTTTTTAATTTTGTTTTATTTTTTATTATTTATTTATTTTTGGCAGAACCACGGATTGAACTCAGGTCCTTGCATTTGCCAGGAAAGTGCTTATTCCACTGAACTATCTCCCCAGATCCCCAAAATTCTTTAAAGATTAAGTATTTTTATTAGTCTTGTGTGTGTGTGCATACATGTTTGTGTGTCAGCACACACAGTTTGATGCTGATTTTCAAACCTGTACCAGGCAAGTGTTTTACCTCTCAGCTATACCCTACTCCTCTAGTATGGTTTTTAAATAATTAGCAATTTCTCCTACTTGAAATCAAATCTTTGTTAGAATGATTTGTTATTTTATCTTCAATTTGACTTATAATCATTGCAAGTGAGTAGTAGGTTTGTAAATATAACTGGCTTATATGTGACATAAATAACATTATATAGTATTATTAAATGCTTTACCTGCTTAATGCAGTGTTGAATTCTTCTGTGAATTGAGTTATTGTGCATAAGTCTATCGGATGTTAGTGAAATATGGATTTTTCCAAGGATTGAAAACTTTTATCCTATTTCATTGTCTTCTTATAATTCTTATTTAGCAAAATTGCTTTATGAAACTTAAGTTTAAAAATATTCACTGAGGGGGAAGGAAAAAAGATCAAGAAAAAGAATAGAAAGAAGAAATGAAGACAAAGCTTTTGTAAATGAGAGGGAGAAGGGCTGAAGGGAGGGGAGGGGAGTGGGAAAAAAGAAGTAATATGTATCATGTACAGGTAGTAATTCCCTATGATGATATTATCACTATGTATATCTGAAATATACTGATAAATTTTTTTTTAATTCTGATAAAAATTTTTAAAACCCAGAAGAAAAAAAATTCAGTGAACACCTTCTGTGAGAGAGATACTGTTTTTGTTTTTGTTTTTTTTTTGCAGAACTAGGGATTGAACTCAGGCCCTTGTGCTTGCCAGGCAAGTGCTTATTCTACTGAGCCATCTCCCCAGCCCCGAGAGATACTGTTTTAAGAGCTATAGATAGATAGATAGATAGATAGATAGATAGATAGATAGATAGATAGACTCTTTTAATCTTCATAATAACCCATATAAGTTAGATACTATTATTCCTTTCTCTGCAGATGAAGAAACTAAGGTAGAGAAAGCTTACGTAACTTTCACAGTAGAACACACCAGTGATGGAACCAGGAAATATGTTTGCTGTAGTGCTAGATAGTTTATAGAATTTTGACATGTCCTCCTGATAACCTGGTTGAGGTTTTATTTTTATTTTATCTATTTATTTTTTTGGTTGAGGTTTTAAACTCAATAATGTGGTCTCTTGTGATTCATGAATGTGCATTTTTAACTTTAAAAGTTAAAAGTTACCAAGAGAACTAATTAGTTTTATGTCTTAGAATTGACAAGACTTATATGTGAGAATTTGACATACACCATACCATCTTAGGGTTTCATTAACTGACTTTGATTTATCTCAGTTTAACTTTCTGAATAATTTCTGATTGTTTCAGTCATGTCGTACACATCTAGTCACTGCCTGAGTTAGCCACCTTGCACATTTTTATTTTATTCAAAGTTCTCTTACCTCTCTTGCCAGTCAAAGCATTTGAGTCAATCCTGGATGTTAGAGACCTGTGGAAATTGTGATTTGGATTTATTGTCTTTTCTCTTGCACATGCCTGCTGTCCTTGGTTTTGTTAGCCTTTATTCATTCCTCCATTCCTTTTTACTTCTTTCTTTCTTTTTTTTTTTTTTAATTATTTATTTATTTATTCCTTTAGTGTGTGTGTGTGTGTGTGTGTGTGTGTGTGTGTGTGTGGCCAGCTCAGCCCACCTGGGG